GCCGTGCAACTGGAAATCCCTTCGACCGTGTAATAACACCCGATATCCTGCGAGTTTGTTGATTTTTAAATTGTGCCCCTAGGTGGCGCGTTTGGGGTTTCGCGATAACCGTGCGAATTCGTTTCGACGCACAAATAAAAAGCTTTGGGGCATTTGCATTGAGCACCTCTGTTCGTTTAATAGCAAGTTGACACAATTTCTATGGTATCGAGCGATATTGTAATAAATTAATAGAATATTCAAAGTAAATAATATTTATTTAACGGTGTAAAAGTTATTTATACCTATTTTCTCGAAAAAATCTAATGAAAAAAATCTAATTCAAATATATATACGATTTTATAAAGATATAAAAGAAGAAAACAAGATTTACACGTGACTAGTGAAAATCCTTGCAGTGAATAAATATTCAATGCGATTTTTCTTGGCGACTTGGATAACTACATTACTACTTTCTATCCAGGTTCCAAGGATTCCATGGCAGACATTGTGTATAAAATAGCACAAGAATTAGTCAAGACGAAATTAAATTAAAATTTTTCTCCCAACTTTATCTCAATAGAAAAAAAATATAAATTCAATTTTTATTTATTCTTTTTTTATTTCAAAGATATTGAAAGAATATATACTTTAATATGATATGTCTAAAACTGGAAGTGATTTATTAGAAAATAATTTTCTACAAGCTTTTGAAACGAGAATGGCCCTAAGGTGTGCTTGTTTCATTGCAGCAGCATGGCGAAAAGGTCAACACAGGCGCATCGATCTTTGGGGATCTTCCAGAGTGGAAGCCAGTCAAAGGTCAGGATAAAGCAACCAGAGTAAATGCGGCTAAACAGAATCAGTTATGTGAATGAAGCCTTAATAAAACAAGGCTACGGATGCTTTTATTTCTGCATCCATTATAAAGAGAAAACGGTATTCTTTTCAATCCTCGCAACAGGTGATTATTATTACTATTTCATTGTGTTCATCCACAAGATCCATTAGTTTCGAGCTTCGCTCGCCTTGATTCCTAGAAATATTATTCTATTACTATCCTAAATTATGGGGTACATAAAAGATGAAATGGATGGAAAGAAAGAACTTTGTATGCATGATGCTGAAAACTGGAAGTTTCGTTTCTATTATCATCTTCAGTTATCTGCTGATGGTGTAATAAAAATTGAAGAAGTCTTTTTATATTGCAGGTTGGTTTTAACAACATGTTTCAGAAAGATGTTTATTATTTGAATTTCCATTTCGAAAATTTATTTTTTTTTTTTTTTGCCTAAAATTAATCGATAATCTTGTATATTTTTATACAATTTAATGTATTTCTAAAAGGAAGAATAATAATAATATTATTATTATGTTTGAAATATTCTTGATACTTATTTATCAAAAATTTAATCTTGAATTTCCTCGATATCTTTATTTTCGAATCAACCAGTTCAACTAAACATTAAATCAATTCAACAAATAAATATCAAATATTAAAAAGAAAAGATTATCTTCATAAAAATCACTCTACACCGGATGACATCAAAATAAAACGTTGCTATAAATAATCAACGATAAATCAACATCAAAGAATTTTTTTTCTCATCACGAGGGCTTTCTTTGCTCGTTGCTCCCTTGAAGCAACGTCACGAAACGGCGCTTAATCGATGAGACAGTCAGCCACGCCCGAAAACTCGAGCGCGACCGGACGAAGATGCGATCAGGTCGGTCACCTTCTCTTCCTTCCATAAGGAGAAGCGATTTCGAATCTGTGATTAACAACGGCTTCGTGAAAGGATACGACGTGGCCAGGAGCGTGCAACAGCTTTTACGAGTGGTGGCAAGGTTACTTTTTTTCGGCTCTGCATATATTATAATCGGCGTCTACGTTCGTAAAACAGACTTGGCAGACTTGTAAATGTTGGAACATTGGACTGGATATTTATATCTCTTTGACTTTTTTAGCCTCAACTCCTAAATCTTTGCATCTTTGTATTCCTTTTTGAATTCGTAGAAATCGAAAGAAAAGGGCTTCCTCAGAAATTGGTTAAAAGTTACATAGAGAACTAATTTCATTTGATATTTTTGAATTGTTGAAAAAGTGAATATTGTTTCATTGATTATAAAGAAAATGTATGAATAAATGTATTCATTCTAACAGGAAATGTAAAATAATATTGATCTAAATGAATAAATGCAACGTTCATTCATTAATAAATTATAAAGCATGCGTAAGATTCATTTATATTTGTGCATATATCTATTGATTACAAAAATTTATTATATTTATTATATTGTATTATCGATAAAGAGTATGCTGTTTTAATGTATATCTCAAAAAATACATTTAAAAAAAATCATCCAAGTATTTCATCAATTCACGAAGAAATAAACATGAGGTAATTAAAAATATTATATGATTAATTGTATTTTATTTGTCCGTCTAAAAAATCAATATTCTGCAAATATCCTCAAATTTTTCAAATCTTGACGAATCGATTTCCAGTATTGAAATTACAATATAGATAAATAGTATTATGAGATAACCAATATCATTTGATTTAGAAAAATATCGAATTACACGTTTTCTCTGAGAATTTTATTACTGATCACGTTTCAGATTTTTTTATTTCAAGCATATGATCGATATATTAAATGATTTATACAATTTGTATTATAAATATTTATTTAACTTCTTGAATATTTCCATTTATATATGTTAATATATTTATATATTGGATTTTTAATTCTGATGAAAAATAAAATTTCGATTAAATATTCTACATCGAATCAAGATTTAAAAAAAACACATTTTACACAATTGCATATAAAACCGCAAAGAAATGTTAGAAAAAATATATGCTAGAAGCAATCCGTCTCAAGCTAAGTGATAATCCATTCCAAGATCATCGAGTTTCACAAGATCCCGGAACCAAGACGTCAAGAATCGATGCAACCTCGAAACACGATCTCTTTCAGCCTTCGAAAATCACGAGAGTCGCGAAGGACCGAGGAATCAGGCTGTCGACTTTACCGCCACGTTTGGCGATTATTCGAGAAACGATCGAAATGATCAACGAATGAACGAATCAACGAACGGCACGGGAGAAAATGGTGTATAACCTTGCTCGAACGACCTCGATCGCCTTCACCGTAGTAGAAACCTTCGACGCTGTGCCTGGCCACGCCTACGGACACGCGCAGTATCGCCGCCGATCCTCCGATCCCGTGTCGAAATATTTTCACACGCATGTGGGTATATGTGTATCTTGTAACAGGAGATCGTGCACGCGATCGATGATGTGTCACGCCTCTCACTCTCGCTGCTTTTTACAAAGGGATCTCTCGTAAGGAACCACCTGACTACCTTTCGCCTTCTACTATACATTATCTACTATCCTTCTTATAACATTGATGAAAAAAAGAGACGAGAACAATTTTCTTGCTTATTTATTCGTTTCTGAATGTCTAAGCTCTTTGAATTTCTGTCGCATCACGTCGCATCTAAGATTTTTTTCTCTTCTATATTTACATTTTGATTCGTCATTGTTGACTGATATCGCTAAATGGAAGATATTATTTATAAGATTTATTTTTTATTTTTAAGATTATGAATATATTTTATGTATGTGTTTCTTATAATTATTACACATTATATATCCAATAAAATCCTTGGAATTCATTTTACGTATATTCATTAGATAGTAAAATTTTAATACTTCCAGATCTTTCTCTAGAATATTTTATACATATGTATAATACCAATATGTCAGAGTCTTATCTATGATTTATTATAAATCATAAAATAATTTTCATTCTGAAGCCTCATTTATCTATATATATGTACACTTTCTCGATAATCTTCAAACTTTATAATCAATATTCATTCGTACATCGATCTGTCTTACGAACATAACCTCACTCGTAGTTTTTTCTCGCCTACTCTAATATTTTACAGTTTTTCAATATGCTATCCGTGATGAATTTCAAAGCGTTTATAACGAATTTCGAAAACATTCTCACGATCCAATACACAGAGACAGAAAAATTTCCAAGAAAAGTTTAACGATTGCTAATGATGGTTCGCGGAAAACGCGCGGAAACTATGAGGAGTTCATGTGTTGCGCAGCTGGCGCATGCGCTTGAGGACAATTTTTTTATTCCTAGTCTTGCAAATGTGATTACATGAACGCGGCTTTTTTTAAATCTCTCGGTAGTTTCTCGGAAGGGTTACGATTATACGATCTTGGATCTCATAAATTTTATAAGCTAAAAATTCTTCGATTCATCATGGTTTTCTATTAGAAATTTTAAAAAATTTTGATAGCTGCTTTAAATTTTTTATAAGATTTTTATAATTCTAAATAGAAGTGAAATCTATTGGTGTTTCAAATGTTCAAAAAAAATCAGGATGATAATGATTTTTAATAAAATTTCGAAAATATATATCATTTTAAGATTAGGAGATAAAATTTTTTATCTTTTTACAAGAAAGAAAATTGTATTATGATATTTAAGTAATATTAAATTCGTGTTTAGAGAATGAATCAAACGTATTGCAAAATATCACATTAGATATTTATTATAAAAGAAGTAAAATATTTCTCTTTTTAAATCTATAAAAGATAACAACGTTTATACAGATGTTTTTAAACTAACGAACTTGCGAAATTTGTTCAAAATCATTTATCTGTCCGATTTACGACATTAAACACGATAAGCTGAAGCATAAATGAGTAAGATAACCTTCCTAAAAGCGAATTAAAAATATTTATATTATCGCTTAATAAATATTTAATAAATATCGCTTATGTTTCGTTTAGGTAGTAAATTATGTAAAAAAAAAAAAACAATATTCATATTGATTTATATGATTGGTCGCGAATAAACGATAGATCTTGTAATATTTCGTACGATATCGATTGTGATTATAATCGAACGAACAGAAAAGTCGAAAATTTCTACGTGTCGCACAATCGTATCGAATATGTAAATAATGAAAAGTAATATTGACTTACCCCTTCGTTTCCTAGGAACTGTATAGTAGGATTCTGGCTGGTCTTGTTCTAGAAACAGAAAAAAGAAAATTAATATTAATTTAATTAATTATTAATTATATTTTCAAATGAATAATTTTGCATTATAATTTTTGTTCAGTTATATTTAAACATATAGGATGTTTTGTGAAATATAAAAATATCTGTAGTAATGAATAATGATATAAAAATACGGATGTATGTAACACATATGCCACATATGTTTTTTCAAGTCATTATTACATTCCAGTGATGCAAAGTTGAATAGTTTTACAAGAAGAAATAATTATATTTAATTAAACATAATTTGCTATGTAACTTTAAATATAAATAATACGAATTATTATTAAATAAAATGTAACTAGAAAATAAGATCAAGAAAGACATATTTTAATTTTGAACTTTTTTTTTAATTTTATTAAATGAAATTATGTTGTATCGTTTTATCGGATCAAAAATTATCGAATTGTATAATAATAATGCAAAATCACAGTATTTCTTTGTACCTGCCTTATAACGCTTTATACGCCTTATACGTTTTATCAACGCAAGTATTGACACGTGCATAACATAATTCACGAATATGAAGATAAGAGTTTACTTATTTCAAGCCATCGATTATTATATATATATATTTCAAAGTTCAGGAAATTCTTATTCATGACATGATAAAAAAAGAGAAAAATCCGAAGAAAAGCATATCGTAGGCGTTGAATAAATTTATATGTAATTTATAATTCGATAGAAAAAGAATTTATTTGATTATATACTCAACGCAGCTTTCTATGCTGCGTTTCTGCGGTTCGTGAAATCGAACTGCGGTATGATCTTATAACGTAATATATTTGTCGCGTTACATTAGCGGCGCGCGCATACACGACAATTTTGTGTGCAGCGCGCATGCGCAGACGCCTCTGCGATCGTTTGAAAAGGGAAAGTTGTCGCTAAGTAAGAGCTCTTTTGATCACTGAACAGGACGAAGACGTTTGTAAAAGCGAGAAGCGCTAATATTGTCATTAGTGATTGACAATATTTGTAATGTTAATAGTAACATGAAAAATGTATAAATAATATACATAAATTTATCATTGATTAACAATCAAATTGTCTTGATTTTGATAAAATTTAATTTTGATAAAACTTTTAATTTGATATATTTTATGCACAAATAATATTTTGACAATAAAAAATTTTCGAGTTTATAATTGATATATATCATTGAATGAAACATTTAATTATTAAATTTTGCATTTTATACGTAATTTTCTCGTAAAAAAAATTTATATTAAACGAATAAAAATTCGTAATTTTTAGAATAAAATGAATATCAAATACAAAGATAAAAATATATAAAGATCAAATATCAAGATGTTAGAATTTAGTATCATATATCTGCATTTTCATTTGAATAGCAGTCCCATTCATTTCAATCCAACTGTTTTTATTACAAGTTATTGTGTTAAATCTTTTTACGCGTTTCATTTATCGATTCTCATTAAAAATAAGCGAATATTCATGATCATACACGTAAACATCCGCTTTCACGAACGAGAGTCTCGAGTTCTTGTTAGTTGTCCTTCGAAACCGATACCGACGTGTCGTTATTAGATTTTACGAGCGATTTGACGCCGTCTTAAGATACATGCACATGCATTGACGTTCGAGCTGAGTTGCGTTTGAACGGTTGTCGCGATTTAACAAGATTTAAAAGCGGGCACCGGACGATAGACTACACGTCTCGGGCAGAAAAGCGATCAGGCGACGAATACAAGCGAAGAAAAGGAGAGACTGGACGCAACGAAATAAATTAATGACGCAAAAGGCGACTCGTGGTCTGACCGTTAAATGCTTGAATATAAATTAGCAGCACTTTGTGCTAAATTAGCTACGTTCTGAGCCGAAGTCGTCAAATGTGAAAATAGAGCAAATATGATTAAATTTGAACGGAAAAAAGAGTTTGATGAAATTTTGGGGAAAAAATTGGGGAAAACTATTTTATTTTTTATTTATTTTGATTCTATTCAATTCAATTGGAGAAATTTTAACGCGAAAAAATTAACAAAATATTTCTACTGATGTTTCGACAATAGTAGATTTTTACCAAGAAGATTACATACTAATAATTTAGACATTTAACATTTAAGTAAATTATTACAGAAATATCATTTTATACGCAATTTGATTGCTCTATTCTCAATCTTGTTCTGATAGCAGCACTGGCTTTTTTCATTTATGCTTCAGCTGGCAAAAATAAAGCCAGAATCAAGCCTATTCATCATTTAGGAGAATGCAATAGGACTATGTTGTGATTCAGTGACTCGTGACTTGGAGAGGTTCCTTTTTTGCCTGTGGAAATGTGATGAAATTGCTATTGCGACAACTAAGGTCGCTGGTAGGTGTGTTATGAACTTATTGAAATTTCCTCGAATGTAAACGCCTTTTACCTATTTAATTTCAAAACTCGATAAGATTGAAAAAAATTATTCGTTTCATTCTATCTGATTATTCGTTTACATTCATTTACCGTAAATGTTTTTACCGATAATGATCAACACCTATAAAGAGATAACGCACGGAGGACGATTTATCTCGTCAAATTAATTCTTTCAGACACAATCATCCCTTTTGAACACGCCACTTCAAAGGAATCAACTCTCAATCGTCCCGCGCTGCATCGTTCCGTCAACCACGTTTGCCCAATAATTTATTTTCGCTCGGCGAAAAAGAGTGGTCGAAACAAAAGTTCCATTAGGCAAAATTTCATTCTCACCAAACGGACGTACGGGATCCGCCTTGTTGCCTTTATTTCCCGGCCGAGGGAGAAAAGGCGAAGGGAAGGTTCGCCCATTCGCTGACTAAATTCACTTTACCCGTCCCTAACGTACAAAGAGATGTAACAATGCCGGTCATTCTATTTTCACGATGTGGAAGGAAGCATTGCGTGTCACATTAAACGTTCTCAAAGCGATGGCTCCGCTCATCCACCATCCTTTCCCACCAACGCTATCATTGCTAGGCTGGTTCAATAACTCTTCCTTCTTCTCTCTCCCTTCCAATCATTTATTTCTTTCCTTTTCATCATCCTTTCTCATCAACTGCCTACTTTTGGATGTAAACCACAAGAATCCCCCCCCCCCCACTCCTTTTCCTCTTTAAGTTACGGTCTCTCGTCAACCACCCTTTTCTTTTTCTTCTCTTCGATCATCTCATCAACCGTTTCCTTCGAATCATACGAATCATTTTCCATATTCTTTTCAATTATCGTCCTCTTTCCTTAACCGCCTCTTTTTGAAGCGCATAAATCACCCTTTTTTCTTTCCTTTGATCAACGAAGTTTGGTTAACCGCTTGTTTTTCGAGTGTGCATATAAATTACCCTTATTCCTTCTTTCAATCTTGATCACTCGTCTTTTTTTTTTTCGACCCTATTTCTCTTTTTTAATCGTCTCTTACCAATCATCTGTTTTTGATCCGCATACATAAACCATCCCTCCCCTCCCTCTTCCTTTCTTCCAACTAGCAAGTTCTCTGGTCAAGTTCTCTTTTATTTATTCGACCAACGTCTCCATCGATCAACCATCTGCTTATAGAGGCATATACCGTATAAAACCACTTTCTTGCTCTCTTTAGATTACCAGTCCACGGCCAATCTTCTTTCTCCTTTCCAACTACATAAACAACCCTCTTCCTCTCTTGACGATCGTCAATGATCTTCTTTTATCCCATGTAAACCACCCTCGTCGAAATCGAATCTCAACGGCCACGGGTATTGGCAATAAATTACCAACTTCTTCAGAGACGTCCACCACCAACTTCTATCGTAATCCCGCATCTGAAACCGCTCGACGTATTGGACTAATTGATTTCGATTCGCCGCTCTGAGATAGATTATTCACGGAATCACGTTATCGAGGAAATGGAGAGTGCGATTGGAAACGAAGAGATGGGAGCGGAATCGAAAGAATAATTTTGCTATCGGAAGGAAAGGCGGCGCGGATGAAGAATTTCACACCTGTTGAATTTCGTTTTTTTTAGCGGTAAATCGGGATATCCCGCTCTTGAAACGGTTGATAAATTATTCGCCGTGAAAAGAGGAGCGTGAGAGACGCGCGCATAATTTATCCGATGGATCGAGCGGTGTCGATCGAGCGGACACTTCTCACCAGGTTCGCCCGATAAGGCGGATATAACGCGTGGAAGGTTAATCGGTTAAATGGTGAACGGTTTTTCCGATATTTCATATTTATGGACTGGCGCGAAATCGCCGTTCCATTATTCTGCCTTATCGCTCTATAAAGAAATGTAATTTTTTTTTTTTTATTATTATTAAATACGCGCCATATAATAATTGGAGCGTTGTGCGTTCGAGAGTAGCTATCTGTGAAGATTGAAAAATATATACGTTTAATCGAAATATTATTTATGAAATTCTAGAAAAGCTCTAGATGTTGGAAAATATTCGAAGAGATATGATTAACTATATATACAATATATGTTTAATAATCGTCAGTGTCGTTATTAGGATGGTTAAAAATATTTGAAATTGTGAACTATATATGTAGGACACGCATTGCTATGCTAATAAAATTCGTAAGTATATTCTAATTAAAAGTTCATAAACCTAACCTCTATTTCTAGTATAGAACAAAAACATATATTCATGCGGTACATCCATATGTACCAATTACGAGTAATTTATTAACTCAAAAAATTAATAACTTTCTCTGCTTAATTTACCCAAGTATTTTTCTCCAAGTGGAATTTTCTTCTTTGGAAATTCTTAAAAAAACATTCGATCAAGGAGACGATGAATAATCGTCGAAACGAAGCGAAAATATATCGTGGAGGGGAAAGCCTACGGTAATTTATGGGTGGCTCGTTTCGTGAACGCGAAATCGTAAAAGAAACCTGGTGTTGACGCGTCAGCGTGTTCGATGTGTGTTCGGTTGCATAAGCACGCGAACGGTTATGTTCATGCATTTTGCATCGCATCCCTATCTCGTAACGCACAGTTCGTCGCGTCTACGAAAT